TCGCCATAATTGAAGCGGCAGTAAGCGCATCATTGTTTCGGGAAAAGAACTACCTCCAACAACCTATTTTATATGTCAGCAAGAGCCTGATTGACGCTGAGAAGAGATACACCGAGAACATCTAAAAAAGGACAGGTAGTTACTGATTTTCTCATTGAATGTTATCCCATAGAAGGAATGCATGAGAAACAAAGGGATACAGTAGGAGCATGGTGCAACGAGGAAACACCGTGGGAGTTATATGCAGACGGCTCATCCAACCGAGTAAGGGCCGAGGTCGGGATCGTCCTTTCTTCGCCAAAAGGAATAGAGCTAGAATACTTTATCATATTGGATTTCCCCGCCTCAAACAATGTTGCTGAATATGAAGCCTTGGTATTAGGATTGAAATTTGTCGGACTACTGAAGATATGTAATTTAAAGGTGTACAGTGACTCTCAACTTATAGTCAATCAAGCAAATGAGGAATACGCGACCAAAGACGAAAGGATGGAGGCGTATCAACAACTGTCAAAGTGTTTGTCTCAACAATTCAAGAAGTTCAAACTGAAGCAGATTCCGAGAGAGCTGAATGGACGGGCAGACCGGTTGGCATGTGCGGCATCAGCCTCAGCTTCAGGTGATGATTCAACAAAGGTCATATCTGTAGAATGCTTGGAAAGCCCTAATATAGATGTTGTTGAACCTCGGGTTATACAAGTTAACTCAGAGGTGACGTGGATGACGCCAATAGTAAATTATCTAACGGCAGGGATGCAACCTGCAGATCCGGTCGAAGCGAGAAAACTTTGGATGAAAGCTGCCAGGTACGCACTCATAGAAAACATCCTCTTCAGGAAGTTTTTTTCAGGTCCCTATCTACGCCTGGGGGTAAAAAAATATGTTCTATTAGCCACAAAAAATATGCCCACAATCCAAACGATGGTGGTGGATAGTAAGGATAACGACCAACAGATTGCTCGTAACCTCGATTTAATTGAGGAACATCGAGAGGTTGCAGCGTTGAGACTAGCAAACTATCAGAACCAGGTCGCTAATTACTTTAACAAGCGAATCGACCCGAGAAGGTTCAAAGTTGGTGAGTGGGTCCTTAGGAGAGTAATGAAAAACACCAAGGATCTAAATGCAGGCAAGTTTGGTCGCTTATGGGAAGGACCGTTTGAGGTCACAGAAGCATACGGAAAAGACGCCTACAAGCTTAAACGGGTTGAAATTGGTCAGTATATGCCACGCCCTTGGAATGCAACTCATTTGAAGAAATATTATGTTTAAATTAATCTACTTGTCCATCATTCCATTTATATTTATTAAATAAAATCCGCACTTCCCATTTAAATATCGATCCATGCACTTGGCTTAAATTTGTTGCAAATCTAGATGTGTTCAAACTTATCATCAAGATCCATGCCGATCGCAACACTACTGTTTGCCCGTTTTGCGTTCACTCCTGTGATGGAAGGGCAAAGTTCCCCACTGCCTTGAGAACCATAAACTGGTCGACAAGTCAGCTTTCTTTGGTGTGCGAGCGTGCCACTGCTAGCAATAAAAATTCTAGCAGACTTAGTTTGGAGTAGATAACTTGCGCCCCAAGTTACTGATTTCTGCAAACAAACGATTGTGAATTTGGGTGAGGAATATCTCCCAAGTAAGTTCTTTTCTTGCCTCAGACGGGTGAGGACTTTAACAATTTATCTCAGTATAAACAGGCTGCTCTGGCCAAAATGGTTGATGGAATTTAAACTGTTTCAGGCAGAACTGATGGAATTTAAACTGTTTTTAGGCAGAACTGATGGAATTTAAACTGTTTTTAGGCAGAACTGATGGAATTTAAACTGTTTTTAGGCAGAACTGATGGAATTTAAACTGTTTTTAGGCAGAACTGATGGAATTTAAACTGTTTTTAGGCAGAACTGATGGAATTTAAACTGTTTTTAGGCAGAACTGATGGAATTTAAACTGTTTTTAGGCAGAACTGATGGAATTTAAACTGTTTTTAGGCAGAACTGATGGAATTTAAACTGTTTTTAGGCAGAACTGATGGAATTTAAACTGTTTTTAGGCAGAACTGATGGAATTTAAACTGTTTTTAGGCAGAACTGATGGAATTTAAACTGTTTTTAGGCAGAACTGATGGAATTTAAACTGTTTTTAGGCAGAACTGATGGAATTTAAACTGTTTTTAGGCAGAACTGATGGAATTTAAACTGTTTTTAGGCAGAACTGATGGAATTTAAACTGTTTTTAGGCAGAACTGATGGAATTTAAACTGTTTTTAGGCAGAACTGATGGAATTTAAACTGTTTTTAGGCAGAACTGATGGAATTTAAACTGTTTTTAGGCAGAACTGATGGAATTTAAACTGTTTTTAGGCAGAACTGATGGAATTTAAACTGTTTTTAGGCAGAACTGATGGAATTTAAACTGTTTTTAGGCAGAACTGATGGAATTTAAACTGTTTTTAGGCAGAACTGATGGAATTTAAACTGTTTTTAGGCAGAACTGATGGAATTTAAACTGTTTTTAGGCAGAACTGATGGAAAAATCTCTGTATATACATATATAAGGGGGACTTAATCTTTAGTTCTTCTTGATGTCACGAGCCCTTCAGTCACTTCTTCTATGGCAGTTGGTATTGCTGACTTTTTTTCATTTCAGAGGCTGCCTTTGCTGACTTTTTATCCCTGCTGACTTCCGCCATTGCTGACTTTTATCCCAGAGGCTGCCATGTGGGATTGTTCCCTCTTCTGGTCTGGACTCCCTCTTCCTATTATGTTGGGCCTGTGAGGCCCAACTCAGCTTTGTTTGTTCTGATGGGCCTTGGGCTGGATGTGTCAATTTTTGGCCCAAACAACTACCCCGAGGTTTCCAATCCTCTGGGGGCAGTCAATTGGATCCATGCCGATCTCAATATCACCCAGAGTCACCAATCCTCTAGGAGCAATCAATAAGATCCATGTTGATCACAACACTACCCTGAGGTTATTAATCCTTTGGGGGTCAATTGGATCCATGTCGATCTCAACATCACCCAGAGGTCACAAATTCTCTAGGAGCAATCAATAAGATCCATGTTGATCACAACACTACCCGAGGTTACCAATCCTCTGGAAGAAATCAATAAGATCCATGCCGATCGCAACACTACCCCGAGGTTACCAATCCTCTAGAGCCAGTCAGTTGGATCCATGCCGATCTCAACATCACCCGAAGGTCACCAATCCTCTGGGAGCAATCAATGGGATCTATGCCGATCCCGACGTCACCCAGAGGTGTCCAATAGGATTCGTGCTAATCCCAACACTACCTCGAGGTTATCAATTCTCTAGGGATAGTCAGTTAGGCCCTTGTCGATTCTTAGATCACCTCAAGGGAATTTAAGTATACTTCAACTTGCACACATTATGGGAAACTAAAGGGGAAGTAGAACCCTTCCAACTTTATTCAAAAACTCAAAAGTACAAGAAATAATAAAAGTCATGGGCTGACCCAAAATAAAAACGAATACTACGAAACAAAAGATTAGACAACAAACTAGTTAGACTTACCTCACTAGAGCCCTAGTGAGGATTGAGAATTGAAACCCAACTTTTTACCACTCCCTAAACTCAATTTGTCCCTCTCGGGAAGTTATCCCAATCAACAAACGAATAAGCTGCTTTGGCCTTGTCACGAAAGTAGCTGATCCTTTGTTGGAAGCCGTCACAAATCCTTTCAAAGTGAGCAAGAGCCATAACACGGTTCGCATCTACCAGATTCCTTTTAAGGCATGTCAAAGTTTCCCTGAGTAAGTCTTTTTCCCTCTCCATATGGTGATAATTTATCTAGGAAGAAGTTTCTATATCCCTATCAGAGTGCAGTTAATGATGTCCTAACCGCGACGGCCCGGGGTCATCCCTTATCGACTTTGAAGGGCCAGCATCACCTTTGTTCAAGCAAAAAGGCATGGGACCCTCTTTTTCTCCTCTAACACAATTCGACGAGCACCCACAACGGATCGAAGAAGGGCCATAATGAAGTCCGCATCTGTTGCCATATCTCGACCGAGTCCTGGACTTATATTCACGATCGGGCAGCGAGTTTGGAACTTCGGAGCAGTCGAATGACCTCACTGGTGAATCGAATGAAGAACCTTCACCAAAGTAGATTTCTATTCCTCTAGTGCCTCTTCTCCTGGGACAGCAACCATTTCTGGGGATGTCAGCGCAGAGGTGGAAGCGAAGTTTTAGCCTACGCCTGTGAGCCATAACATCCAGGTACTTGAAACCCATCCTCAACCTCTCATTTTATAACGTCAATCAAGATGGCTCAATCAGTTCAGATAATTATGCAAAGTTTCAAATTCAAAAAGCAGTTTTATCTGAGAGATTGATACTCCAACTTGATTTTATTTTTGAAAAAGGATAGTGTTATCCCAATGAACTTAGTACGCGAAACAACATAGGATCAGGTTAGATTTGAAACTTACAATGACCCGAGCGAATAATATCTAAGAGAACCTATAATGAAAGAGGTGGTATTTGTCTTCGTACTCACCCAGATAGGACAAGTGAATTAGATATATAATCATAATAAACCCGAGCCTGAATATCAAAGGGAAGCCAACCAAGTCCACATAAGGTACAATACATAAGTTCAATCTCAAACCAAGTCACATGCAAAAACTCGTCGTGTCAACCCAGAAGCCTACTCCCCAATCTTGTAGTCATGAACAGAAATGTCATGGCTCGCAGTGGACGGCACAACATCACCAGAGTCGGGAGGCGCATGATGCTTTGCAGAGCCAGAAATAGGAATGTCTGTAGGGATCATCCCGAATATGAACTCATAGTCTGCGACGCCAACTCCCATCTCTCCGTCGTAGGCGTCAGGATCGGCCACAACCCTATGGTGGGTAGGCTGCTGCCCCTGCACCCAGCCGAACCGAAATTGTTTGGCGGACTCATTGAAAATTTGAGCGCAACATGCATCGTACTGATCCTTCTTCTCTTTTTCAACGCGTCCCACGTCATTCTTCAGCTAATCTATTTCCAGTAAAGCGTTCTTACGTTCAAGGCTGAGGACGTCAATTTTGTCAGAAAGACGGGAAATCTCACCTTTCTCTTTCGTTGATGTAGCCTCACTAACCTTAAGTCGTTGTCCTAAATGGTCATGGAACTTGATCAAGTTGTCTAACTCATCCTTGCGCCCTTGAGCCCTGGATAGCTCAACCAAGCGAAGTTCGGCCATCTGCACGGAGTTTGCATAAGTTAGTAAAGTAAGGCAAAGCTAAACTGAGAGAAATGAGAAGTGTAAAGGAAAAACATACCGAGATTAAGTTGTGAGCTTGTTGGAGTGTAATGTCATGATCATCCAAGTCCGTTAGTTCTTTAATGTCTTGTGGGTGAAGGAGAATGAGGCCACCCAAAACGACGTCGCATGCCTCAGGATCATGCAAGAGTCCTTCATTTTTCATAAGACGCTTCCCATCTTACTTATGAAACCATGGTCTCCATATCTCACTATCAGTAGGAATGACAGGTTCGTTGTCAAGGTCAATATCTTCAAGAACCACAAATTGAGCAGAGGTGGCCAAACCAACTCGATGAAGCACATCATGATGGGATCGGCCATAAGATGAACCTGGAATGAACGCATCTGAAGGATCTGAACTCGACCCAGCATCTGGAACACGCTTGGACCTTTTTGTCTGCTGATCAATGGATGGTATCTGCCCTGGACTTAGTCAAGAAGCACGTTTCGACAGGTTGGGTAATGGGCCCGACATGTCAGATAGCTCGGAGTCGTCAGGGGAATAACCACCGTTATCTTCTTCCTCTTCAGCCTGTCTCTCTGCGTAACTCCTTCGGATGCGATGTGAGAAATCCTCCTCAAATTGGAGAGCTCGATCAAAGCTGACTATGTGACCTACTAATTATGTCTCATGTAGATCCGCACTAAGATCAACCCTAAGGTAAGATGGGTAGATGATATTATCCCAATCTTGATAAATACGAAGAAGCGTGTTGGGATCGAGGAAGTACTGAACGTCCCAATCTTGACCAACTAAGTGGCAGTTCAGCCACTGGATTCACTCATGAGTAAGGACAGTCTCCGAATGGGTTGGGTTGGGCACTGCAAAACAAAGAAACCATTTAATAAGCTTCCTTTGAAAAATCGTATCATAGTCAGTATTAGTAGAGCAGTCATAATCAAGAATACCAGGTTCAGGCCCGAATGATGAAGGAATAGAGATACAAGACATCTCAGGGGTAGCCCAATTCCTGGTAATCATTAAGGGTCAGGTCTTCCAATCTTTAGCGGAAGACAGTTTGTAGCCAAAGAACTTACGGGTAGGTCGAGGGGTTAGGTAGAAATACTCAGTCTCATGTCTAATAGTGGCAACATAATGGTGGGAGAAGAAATCTAAGAAGCCTAGTGACACCCTCCATTTGAGGCCAACTGCCAGCATACCACTAATCAATAAGTATGAGTTCGAATTTAACTGCATAGGATGAAGGTTCAGAGAATTCAACACAAGGTGAAATAAGGGGTGAAGCGGGAACCTAATAAACTCTAGGTGGGATGGTGAAAGCACTAGAGCTCCCTCCGGGATTCCAACTCCTATGTACATATCCGCCTCCTTAGGTATCCGACCGATAGTAACGTCACCAGGAATGCGGAATTTCTCTCACATCTTATTTATCTCAAGCCTCGAGGGATATCTCATCTTCGACTTCGGCCAAAGGTTAAGCCTCGACATCGAAGTAATTAGAAAGTAAGCAGACGAAACGAAAGTTGAATGAGATAGGCAACTGGAAAAGGGGGTGCGTACAACGAAGTCAGTTTGAATGTGAGTTGGGTTCAGAGATTGGCGCAACCAAGCTAGATAAATAAGACTTGAGGGGGTTTAGCTTAGTCAAAACACAACCCCGGATTGAAAAGGTTCGAGTTGAATAGGTCTCCTGAGAAGTCAAACACAAAGATAAGTGACTTTAGAAAACTGCGCAGTGTGCATATGTCAGTTGACTTTAGTTTGTAAATCTACTAAACCATCTGCACCTAGGACATATTATAATCAAGGTGAGCATTGTCCCACGCCAACTTCACTTGTTAATTGTATGTGTTTTGGGAAGCACAGATGGTGGGTACAACACCAGTTGTATATCAGGCGTGTCAACATAAGGTCAACGTCAAAACTTTTGTTATTATTATTATATACAATGACAGATTTATACTATATATATTGCATTACAGATGGTGGGTACCACATATACATATATATATATATATGTTGCCATGCACATATTGATACATATACATAGCTTTGCATTATATACATATATATAGATTGCCATGCATAGATTGATACTAACGTTTGCCATGCACAGACCTATGTTCATATGTGCACACGTAGACTTATGTTAATATATATATATATATATTAATATACACACACGCATCATATTTCATTCGTGTATACATATGTTCTTCACGAATAGAAGTGCATAGGTTATTGCATATTCAGTTGGTACCTGGACAATAACTATTGATGGTGAAGGAAACCACAAAGAAGAAGAATGGTTGGTGATGAATATGGCAGAGTACAGATTATAGGAAGAAAGCAGCACTCATGTGTGAATTTGTTTGTAGGCCAGCCATAGGAAAGAACCAAACACCGTTCGTAAGATGACGTACAATCGAGCAAGAAGCCAAAGCAGATTCTGAGGGGTTTTCCCTCTCCTCCTTCCCCCTATTTTTCTTTTCCTCTTCTCTTTTGTTTTCCCTCTTATTGCCTCTATAATTCATTCACCTCCTTTTATGAGTGAAGAGGGAAATGCAAAGCTCTAAAGGAGAGGGGGAAATATTAAATTGGTGTCAGGAATAGGTTTTGAAAAGCTAAAACTGTCAAGGTCATGAGAAACCCATTATTTTTTGGAAATCCTTTGCGTGCATAGTTGGCTATGTGGGGAGTCTTGTCAAAATGGTGGACATGCAATTCTCAGAGTTGAAATAAACTCATTGCCGCATTGCTAGATGGTAGGCACTCAAGTATGCCATTGCCTATACTCAAGCAAAAGTGTCTTCCCTTTACCCACATGCTAAGCGCGAGCAGGAAGAGGAAAAAAGGGAGCAATGTGGGAGCAAAATAATTCGCTACCGATCCGCTACACCACGGGATCAGATTTAGGCACAACCCAACATAGGTTTATTGGACGTTGGCCCAATGCAGATTCTCTTGCGCAAAAGCCCAACACGAGCTCAGATTGGGGTCGATCCAATATGGGTTCATATACGCATAAGCCCAATGTGAGTTCGTATTGACATTGGCCCGATACGGGTTCGCATGCGCGTAAACCCAATGCGATTCTGGATGCGCACCGCCCAACGCGGGTTCGGATATGCACCACTCAACGTGGGTTCACAAGCGCATTACCCCATGTTGACTCGTGTACAAGTGGCCCGACATGGGTTCTTGGGTATATTCAAACGCCCGCACTCCCCAATCTGCATGAATCAAGGGACAACGTGAACACCGTTGAGAGTCGACAACGCGCAACTCACGCTAATCGGAAGTGGCGGAAATGGACATAAGACGTGCAAAGTGAGGCTTGCATCCCACGTCTGTCACCAGGTATAAATGTGGAGTTCCACAACCAAAGAAAAGGAGGCGATTTAAGATTAATTGACGCACTCAAATACACACAAAAATTGACTTGAGCGTCGGAGTATCTTTTGCAGGTATCCATCCCTCTTTCATCTGATTTGGGAGAAGTGTCGCTTGGAGATTTGTTCATCTCGTGTGCGGAGTAAAGCCAAGAACCTGTGGAAGACATTCTTATTGTAAGAATTTCTACTCCAACATCCAATCTTGATTCCTCTCCTCTCCAAGTTCAATCCAAGCCTCCATCTCGTCTCTCCCTCGGCAAGAACAGTAAAAGGCATGTCTCCTCATGTGTTCGTCAAGGCCTACGCTGCTCACCTGAAACGCTCTGGCAAAGTCAGTCTCTCTCCCTCCCTCTCCTTATGTATTTGTATACGTATTTTGTCAGTATTAGTCGTGTATGTAATAATGTAGGGATGCAAATATTGCAAGCTTAGATAATTCAAACTTTTAGGTTCAGTTTTGGTTCTGCAACATAGAAATTTCTGATAGTTTGTGTATTAATTTTGATTGGGAGTTAGTCTAGGTGGG